TGTCAACTGAAGAAAATCGAGAAGTGAAATATGAATAATTAGAAAAACAATTTTAAAGAGAATTAGTTTAATGATAATTTTATTGGTGTAGTTGACGTAGAAGAAGAAGAACGAGTCAGAAAAATAATTAGCAAAACTTAAGCGAGACGTAAACATGGGATATGTTAGAAGAGAAAGGAAAGACTCGCTTTAGATAATGAGAAAAGAAAGAAAGATAAATACTTACAAAAAAAGGAAATTGAAAAGGTTCAAGGAAAGAAACAAAATAAGTAAAATAAATAAAGGAAGAAGAATCCACAAAACGAAACAGACGATGGCATGATAAGCAAGATAAAATAGTTGAAGAAGACAAAGTTGGTGAAGATGTATTAGTGGGAAATAGGTTGAAAAATTAGAATAATACATGAAAAAGTGAAGAAGTCATACGAAGGCACGTAAAAATTAAAATGGATGAACTAAAGTGATTATTTAAATTAAGTAATTAAGTGAGATTTATGTTTTAAGATTTATATAGATTATATAGATCAATTTAAGGTTAATGAATATGAAGAGGAATAGTTATCAAACTGATGAGTATACTAACTGAAGTTAAATAAGAATAAGAAGATTTTATAAATTCATTTAAAAACGTCTGCAATTCAATCATATTCATATTCTACATTTCATATAATATTAATACAAAAAATAAATATTGAAATAGGTATAAACCAATGGAAACTAAAATTATTACTTTTACTTGAATTGACGATTTATGTGAACTACTTGTTCCTCATATCGAAGATAAAGTGATTTCTAAGTCTAGATGAGAAGAAACCCGTAAGGAAGGTATAACCGTGTTCATAGCAATTTTCATCTTTTTATTTGTGTTAGATTTTTGTATTATCTTTTTTATATTTTTATTCTTCATTTACGTTAATTTTTGCCAACATTATTTCATATGATCTGAATTAATTTTAACAAAATTGGTATTACAATTTATATTAGTTCAATTAAGTAGCAAAAATAAATGCTTATGTCCCCTCTACAATATCTCTTCCATTACCACTTGAACACTCAGTAAATCAGCAGATATTTCAGTTGGATGACATTTTGTTTACCTCAAATGTCATAACGACAAATAAAATCGTCATCGAATTGCTTTTTATTTAATTTTTTTTTTCTGATTTTCGTTTTTTCTCTTTAATATTACAGTGGTCGTCCAGTATAACGAACGCTCGATATTACGAATTTTCGATATAACGAACACCCAAAATATTTACATTGATTGTTCTATATAACGAACGAAAAAAAAAATTCTGCTCCATATTACGAACAAAAAATTTTTTATTTCTTATTCGTTTTTGTTTTATACAAATTATGCTTTTGAATATAATTTTACTATAAAACTAGCATTATTCAGCTTAGAATATGCATGTAATTGTCCGTTTTTTTTTTTTTTCTGAGAAAAATGCCTATATATGGCAAAATGCATATATATAGATCAACAGATCAGGCGCCACTGATCTGTTGTTTACAAATTCAGTTTATCATATACGAAATACTATCCAATACTATCTAACTATTTATTGTTAGTGTGACATTAGTACATACGAAGTTAATAAATGGAATAATGCTGATAATACCATCGATGTCTCGGACGAGGATGATGGATCTGATGACGAAAATATAGAAGAAAATAATTTAGAAATTATTAAACATAAAGATGCCATAAATCATTTCGAAAAATGCATAAAGTGGGCGATTAACAATAATGAAACTTCAAAATTAGCTGTACTAAGAGAACTACAAGAAAAAGCTGTTCAGAAAAGTCTTGAGTGTAGTAAAAAACAAACAAAAATTAATGATTTTTTTTACTCTACACTATGATTGAATGCGTCCTTTCTTATAAATAATTTTTGTAACAACCGAATAAAAAATACTTTTAAATAAATATATACTCGTACGTGTTTATAAGTTAATTTATGAACTCAAATATATGAAATCTCCTAAAAATAACCATATTGGTAGGTAAATGTATAACATTCGATATTACGAATTTTTCGATATAACGAACAAGGGGTGCAACATAAAATTCGTTATATTGGACGTCCACTGTATTTATTCAGAAGCTCAGTAATGTTTGCTTTCACATAGCAAAAGTCTAATCAAATCATTTTAATTGTTTACAAATTGTTATCACTTTGATTATTGCTTACATTCAGCGCCGTGAACGACTTTGATTGGTGGTCACGCCCATATGACCAATAAAGTACTAGCCATGGAGAAATTGTGTTATTGTTTAAGTAACAGTAAAGTTTAGAAATTATTTTCTTTTTGAAGTGTAGATAACAGAAGGAATGGTAAATAAAGGTTAAGAATTGCATTCGTCTGAGGAATATTTAAGTTAAAGTGTAGGAAGAATAAGAGAAATTTCTTTGTCCAATTTTTATGAAGCGGGAGCAGGAGAACAAAATTGTCAAAATGAACTATATTCTGTCATTTCAAAGGTAAAAGGATATCATGATTTATGGGGCCCTAAATAGTATCCAATATTTTGGATCAAATTTTTGAGTTTAAGAAAAATAAAACGTACTATAAATTAAGGATTGAAATGACATCTTACTTACTTACTTACTTATTTGGCCATTGCAACCCGTTACCGAGTTTCAGCCTGACGCGGCATGTCTCCCCAGGCGCCTCTGCTGCGTGCGCGCCTTCTCCAGTCTCGTATATCAGTCCAGTTAGTGCTCCCTCAACTTGATCAATCCACCGGAGACACGGTCTACCTCTACGTCTTCTTCCGCCAACTACTGCTTCAAACACCTTTTTCGCCGTAGCATCTTACAAAACCTTACAAAATCTAATTTTACCGTTTCATATTATATATTAAGTAAATGTATAAACAGATAAAAAATTTCTATATAGAAGTAGTTTGGTATTATTTAAACTGATATATTAACTACTTATAAAAATAATTTTAAAGATATTTGAAGCAATATAAAACGAAATTAATGAACTAATAGAAAGTGAACCAATAATAAGACATATAAAGAAGGAATTTCATTACGAATAAGATTGGATGACAGTGTTCTTCAGGATCATAGAGAATATTTATATCATAGAGAAAATTAAAAAGTGTTGTGACACAAACTTAAATTTTAAATAAACTGTATTTCTTATATGTTTTCATTTGATACCATTATTCCTGAATAATGTGTGCGATTCACAGTCGGCCAGTTGTGTTGAAATATGCACTAACTGATCAAAAGAGGTTAAAAATCAAATGAAAGCCTAATCGTGCTTTAGATTATTGAACTATAAAAGTTAATCTGACAGAACTCAAAATATTTGAGTGTTATAAATGAAAACTGATTAGGTTTCAAAAACTCCTAACTTACTCCTGGGCTGCGTTAAGTAGCCTTCGCCACTCAGCCCGATCGAGCTCATCATTCTATCTAACTTGATACTCGTCGTCAACGCGTAAGAGACCATAGATCTTCTGAAGAATTTTTCTCTCCAATGTTCCTAACGGCTTCTCATCACTCTTGTTAATTGTCCAAACTACTGCACCATACAGCAGAACAGGCATGATAGATTTTTGTTTGTCGAGAAAGGGCTTTATTTCTCAATTGCCTACTTAGCCCAAAGTAATATCTGTTGGCAAGAGTTGAATCTGTAGGCTGGCGTCCTTTTTAGTGTTTAAGCTTGTTCCTAAATAAACAAAGTGTTTCAAAAACTCCAGTATAATGAAATTTGAAATGAGTTTTGCTTATATGCATTTGTATTAGTAATAGCACTAGCTTTTCGCAGTCTTTAGTTATTAGTGGAGTCTAGAATGAACATTAATGTAACTTCAGAAATGTTTTTTACTGTAAATTTTGTTTTATACTTATTAAGTCTTATAACAATTTAACAAAAGGATTTTCACGTTTTAGAAATCTATTCACCTTAAATAGTAGCAATGTTAAGCAACGTTCGAAAAAATGGCTATCTCCTGTTGAGTTACCTAGGATCGTAGGGTGTTAATCTCTATGTATTACTTTAACTAACTCAGAGTAAACTTTTAAACTTTGTTCAAATGTGTGAATCATATTTTATTCAACTGTTGATGATATTCTCACAGGCCAGTCAGCCTAAATGGATTTCAACGATTCCACTTATGAAGTAAGCTGCCATTTTTACACGTAATTGGATGATTACTACGATTAGATATATGAGTTAGTCATCATAGATATATCGAGAGAAGACTTGATGTTACCTCCATTTAGATATTATTTTTATAATATCTATTGCTTTAATTGGATTTTATTGTAACGCATGTTACTGAGAAACTTTTCTGTTGACACATATTAATAATTGATACTATCTACGATTGACTTCATTATTATTTGAGTGGAGGAAACATTTGAATAAGGTCAAGAAGATTAAATTTTAGTTAAATTTATCTATTACTTTGCAAGTTACTTCGTCAAGTTAATGAAGCTAATGAACAAATTAAGAATTGTTGAATGTTGAATGTATGGAATCTAATCCTGTCTGATAATCAAAACAAAATCTAACTTTTTTCTATTGGACATAAGTAGAGATGAAGAGGAAAATTTTTAAGGATATTAAAATTTTATATATTAGTTAATTATATTAACAGTGTAGACAGCTTTTTTACATATCGAATTTACTACATTAGAAAGAACCAACCAATACTGCCGCTTATGTGAGTCCTTTTCGATTTGCATATCATTTGTGCCAACTCATGCACGTGACAGGACAGTCACACTTATCCTTATACAATCATTGTTTAATACTACCTTATTGACCAGTTAAGTTTAAATAAATCACTTAAAGAAGCGTACGGAATTGATTGACATTTAGTGAAATTATAGTAAACAAATTCAACAATGATAAGTGGGAGTACAAAAAAGAACTAGAAGTAGCACTAGATATGTATTCCTCATACATAACAGAATGCTATATAAAGCAATTGAGCAGTCAAGCTAGAACTTAGTTTTGTAGTGAACAGCATAATGGATAAACGACAGACAATTCCCGGAAGTGCAATGGGCACAATGTACGGAACTCAAGCAGCTTGCCTAGTTTGTGGAGACCAGAGTTCTGGTAAACACTATGGAGTAAATTGCTGCGATGGCTGCTCCTGTTTCTTCAAGCGGAGTGTACGTAAAGGAAACCTCTACGCTTGCATTGCTGGCAAAGCAAATTGTACTGTAGATAAAGCACGACGAAATTGGTGTCCATATTGCCGCTTTCAGCGCTGCTTGTCAGTTGGCATGAATGTGACAGCGGTTCAAGAAGAACGTGGTCCTCGCAATACTGCAACTAACAATACATTTACAAGCGCGACTGCTGCTTTGACGAAGTATAAAACGCGTTTAAGCACAACTCAACAGCGCGTTTGTAGTTTTTCATTGACTGCTAGTAGTACCGTAGCTACGCCCTATTATACACTGACAGATACCGGAAATGTATTTAATTTTCAAATCTTAGCACAAGTCTTGGTGACGTGCTTACGTCAGGCGAAATGTAATGAACAATTTCGATTGCTGGAGCGTTGCCAGCAAGAAGCGATACTGCAAGTGGTGTGGAGCGAGTGTTTTGTCTTACGCGCCTCGCACTGGTCTGTTGATATAAGTTCTTTAATAGAAGCTTGTGGGGATACACACTTAAAGCGAGCCATAGGTGATGCACAGCAGTTACGTGCTGATGTTATGGAACTAAATTTTTTGGAGACTTTAATTTTATGTCGAAAAGGTGAGTTTGCTGATTGAACTGTGTTAAAATATTCTAAAATTGCAATATTTGCAGAACTCTCAATATGTGCAAGGAATACTTTACTCTTAGAAACTTATGCAAATGGTGCTTTAATATCATTGGCGCGCTACACAATACAACAAACCAATTACATACGTTTTGGAACTTTGCTATTGGGTTTAAGGAACTTGGCCCTGCGTCGTTACGAAACCATGCTCTCCAGCCTCTTTCGAACTGTGGTTAAGGATATACTTAAAACAATTTAAAGTGTGGTTTTTTGAGAATGTAAGCACATTCATTCATTTCAGATAATTCCATTTATTATCTTATTAAGCGATCTTAATTAAGTAAGTGAATATATAATAACATACTTATGTATAAATACAGTCTTTTAATTCATTTATAGGGAGTTCCGTCCTTGACTGCGTATTTGGCGTGTATTGTATACGAATGCGCTTGTTTTGTCTTGTGTGTTAGACCAAAAGTTCAGCTGGATTTATTAAATAATATCATATTGGACTTTTATATTTTGAAGGGAAATAGTTACTTTATACCTAGCCCTTTTTTGACCTCCTTTTTAATAATGCCCCGACTTAATTATAACTAATTTTATATATGTAAATTTAAGTACACGAAACATTCATCGATCTATAAGTAAAACAAATCATAATAGGTATAAGAAAAAAGATAATTAATTTTGCAATTGATGTATTGTTTTATCTGATTTAATTTCTTCATCACACGTTACTAAAAATTCTCTCATAGCTTCACATTTGGTTGAGTTGCGCCATCTATTAGTAGGACAATTCTCATAGACCGTTTCGGTTGCACAGGCCAAAAGCGCAGCAGGATAGGAATTACATTCAAACGATGGAAATAGCCAACTATGCTCCACGTATTGTAAATTGGCTAGGTGTTCATAGGGAATATATTTTAAAACATATTTAATATTGTTCTTAAAACAATAATTTTTAAGGGCTTTACCGTACTCCAAACATTTCCATAAACCTTTTAATAAAAGGTTCACATACTCTAAATCCTTTCTGTGTCGGGTCTTTAGATCAACTTCGATTGCAGTCATATTTGCCTTGTTTGGACTGCTTAAATAACGCTTTGCATTGAATTCACATTCCGCAATACACTTTGTTATAACAAATACAACAAATAATTAATATATATATATATATATATATATACATCACATTATGTTTTTAAATAAAATAAATAGTATAATATAAATCAAAATGTAACTTACAATATGTAGTGCAACCTTGTTTTGACGTATCTTGGCTATAAGTGTGGGTGGTGTTAAAGTAGTGTTCAGTAAATTTTTACGGCATTGCTTTATATATTCATCTGTATATGGAATTTTGCAACAACTTCGTAACTAAAAACAATTAAATTAATTTTAGTAATACTATTTATAGCCCCATTTCCTCTATACAATCCCTACCAAAGCAGGTTCATGCATTTTAGCGCAATTGTTTTCGAATCGCTCTTCGGAGGAACAAAAGTACTGCAATATAAAGCAAAATAAAAAGCACAAATTATAAAAAAAATAATTATGAATAATAAATAGAGGTGTGAAAATTACAATAATAATGAAATGAAAACTTTATAATAAATATTGTTTATGTATGAGGGGTATTCACAATTTTGAGTAACGACATCGGCAATCAAATAACTTGATAACACTGTAAAGTAACAACAACAACAACATTCATGTGCTCGATATGTAATATTTTTTTATTTCCGCTTTGTGAAAACCCCTAAGTTTTAATAATCGTTGCGAAGAGGTTTGTAACAAAATGATTGAGACATCGGACATACATAAATAATTGCTATGTATTGGGTGTTATTTAGCTGCATGAAAACTTAAAATGATAATACAAGACAGAAACATTGTTGAACAGCAATTTTTTTTTATTATAATGTGGTAGATAGTTTCTTGGCATTTACTTTTTGAATGAAGACCGGCATATGTCCACCGCAGCTACAAGTTACATGGTCCATTCAGACAGTCCAATTTTTGACTATTTTGTGTAATATTGGCATATTGGCCGTATGGCGGAAATGGCATGAATATTGGCTTCGAATGCTTCAAGAGTTGCTGATTTGTTGGCAGAAATTAATAACTTAACATAGTCCCATAAAAAGTAATTGAGAGCCGTTGAATCACACGAACAGGCCAAATTGATCAATTGTTAAGCATGCTGTATAGCATGTTGCGTCATCTCGTAGGAATCAAACTACGTTGATGTTTAACTGATTAATTTTTAGAAACAAGATTTTAGTTAGCATGCCTCAATAGCGCTTCCCATTCACAGTTCCTTCCTTATTTTGAAAAAAATACGGATCGATGATGCCGTCAGCGTGTAAACCGCACTAAACACTCAATTTTAATGGATGTAATGGTTATTCGTTAACGGCTTGAGAATTATCTTCGCTCCATATACGGCAATTTTACTTATTGACGTAGCCATCTAAGCTGATTATGATGACTGTAAAATGGGCGAAGTGCTCTATGAACAGATTTAGTTTTGTGAAAGTTAATTTCCACAATTTGAAAGCGTTGCTCTAGCGTTAAACGATTTATGATGAATTGCCAAATCTTAATGAACAGAAATGGCAAAACAGTTTGACATTCTCAACTGACAATCGATATTTCTCATGCAGCTAAAAAAATATCCGATATATCTTTTCATATATTCATATAATAAAGAGTTGCTACATAACATTGATTTCAGATTTAAAAAGAAAAGAAAGAAAAGAAAAAAGTTCATAATAGGGGAATATGCCTTGTATACTACGATATATATCACTCTTATACACGACAATTGCACTACTTTTTGATATACATTTATCGATAAAAAGTGTTTGCGACTCGAATAACAAGTATTATTATTACAAGGTAATAAAATTAAAAAAATAAATTAAAAAGCGCTGGATATTATTAGGAATACTTAATAACTCAGTACTTAATAACTATATAAGATTTAATTACTTTTATATTGTTATCATATAAATTATTATAACTTTCATTATAATATCATCATTATAAATTCAACTTTACTCTCATAAATAAAATATCAGTTAAATTTTTTAAATAGTCCGGTTTAATAACTCCACTTTTTCCTTTTTGAGCACAAAAATTGGTTTGGAACTTACAAAATTATTCTTACCAAAACGGATATATGCATCCAAAAGAAACTGAAAATATGTTTTAATTCCATACTGTCCGATAATAAACTAAATATATCTTTGCGATTTGTATAGCTTAAATGCAACAAAAAATAGTGATATTAAATGAAGTATGAAATAAAAGTTCAGAGTTAATTAAATTTATAATAAAAACATGGTAGCTATTGAATAAATAATGATCCATGAAGTTTCATATTAAATTAAGTTAGTTTTAGTTATATATATATAAATCCGTTTTTTTGTTTATACGATTTTAAGTTAATCTGCGGTTGTTTCTATAATATAAAGAGTTAGAGTGTAAAAACTAGAGGTGTTAAAAGGACAACAATTTTTTATGTACGTTACGTTACATCCATGCTATATTTATTTTTTGTATATCTGATTTCTCTATAGTGTAATCTGATTTTTCTATAGTGCTTTATTGTGCAGCCTTCATACATAAAAGGTTAAATTAAAAAATTTAATTCGATGATAATAACTTATGAATGGGAATAATTAAACTTAACTTTCAGTAAATTCATTAAACCCAAACACCGCCACATTTTAATTTTAATTAACTTATTTTATTTATTTATTTTTGTTTTCTTTTTTATACATACAATGAAAAAAATTATTTTTTTGTGTAACACAAAATTAAATTTCATTTGCTAACGTTTTATGTATTTAAATTATTTTCAAAAATTTTACTTAAACTAATATTTTTTGTACATTGACAGTTTTTACTTTCACACACATTCGAATTTTCAGAACATTAAAGCATTTAATTATATTTTTAATACATAATTTTCCATTCAGTAATTAATAAATACTCAACTTAGTATTTAATTTGCTTTATAATGTGTTGTTTATCTACTACAAATTTATTTGGACTTAGTAATATAAAAATCTTAGTCAGTAACTGACAAGAGCAATGAAATTAAACTAGTTGCAGATAATAATTCATTCAATTTTTTGAATCATTTCCGTACTTAAAAGTTATACTAAATAATATAAAAATAATAAAATTAAAATAGTATTTCATTTACTAATTAGAGTATTTTCATAAATTATGTTTTAAAAAAAATTAAAAAAAATTTCGTATAAGCTGAAGTGTTTATATTAGTTTAAAAAAATGTAATTTTTATTATTTTTGTTATAATTTTATTAATATTTTTTTAACTTTTTTTTTTTTAAATTTTAGTCAACCTAAATAATTTACGAGAATTGATTTTTTTTGATCTGTTCATTTAGTACGTTATAAATATTCAATCTATTCAATATTTTAAACGTCTTATAAGAAGAGTATAAATATTTTTTAGTTTCAAGAATATAATATACTCATATATTACAAGATATCGGATTAACACATTTTTTACTAATATAATTTTGTTCTTATAAAAATCTAATAAAGATTGTCTTCTGAAATTTAGTTTCATGCGTGTTTTTAAAAATTAAAAAACTGAAATCGACACAGAAAAATATTCAAAACAAAATACATAAAATGCAATAAATAAATAAAAACATTAAATATTAAATTTTAAATATATAAATTATGTAAAAAAGATTGTTAGAAAAATCTGTGATTTAACGTAAAAAAAATCAATGTCAATCAGTATAGTTGAAATTCCCAGCCCCTAACACTAGATATGTTTTAGTAATGACTCTCGCATTATAAAAATTTTAATGAAATTGCCTGTTTTGTTGCACTTTATATATACCCATCGAAGGTGAACGAAGTTAATATATGCAATGTGCGAAGCAATACCTATCCATAAGCAATTATTATAAGTGAAAACACAAATAATTTGCGTTGAAATTCATATCCCAGCAAACAATTTTGGTGTCAAGAATCGTTTCAAAGTTTTTAATTACAATTTCAGACTTATTAATAAGTGATATATTCTTTCCATAAATTCACTATAAAAAAAAATATTATATTAAAAAATAATTGGAATCGCTGCAATGATGTATTAAGATATTAAATTTTTCGCTTTTCCTTGTTTTATTGGACATATAACAAAAAGAGTTAACAATAGAATAACTAAAATAAATATGGAAAATTATTATCTACGACCGATGTAGTGTTAAATTTTTTTTATCGCAGATTATACAGTAATAATGTCGTATGGAAATATATGCCAATGACATAAAAATATATGAAGAACTATTATTATTATTGTTAGGGGATGTGGCAATGCGACCATCGGGTCTATTGTGCCTCTTTCTGGGCTAAGAGTAGGTCTTTAAGCCGTTTTGCGTCAATAAAAAGTAATAAAAAACTTTACTTTACAGAGTTTTATTGGCTCTTCCGTAAGAATATATATTTCTAGGATCATATTTCGTATGTGCATTAGCGCAGGGCATTCTAACAGCACATGTGTTGGCGACTCCTCATTCTCTTGACAGAATCTACAGTTTTGCATCTGTAAGTATACCCAGTTTTATGAAGAACTATAGTTATACAAAACATAATCAACAAAGCATCACATGTGGTTAAGAGTCTGTGGCAGATATTAACGCCTGTTACGAAGATTTCCAGTTAAAATAAGTTGAAACATATAATAACCTAAACACGACTATGTTCTAATTTAGGATGATGCCTTATAAAATAATCAACCGATTCACAAACGGTATGAACGTGTTGAAGAACATTTTTTTTTGTAAAATAATAGAGAGATCCCAAAAGTAATCTACCAATCTATAATATAGTTCAATTCTTATAATTCTTATTCAATTCTTAAGAAATCTATTTGTGACATAATAAGAAACGATCGTATAAGAAAACAATTACTGCAAGTTGACATTCATGCCAACTTTCATCAAATTGAAGTGACTAGACCATGTGTCATTAACGCCCTATTTGGAATTGTCAAACGCATCCTGAAAAAATTTGAGGAAACTTATTCCTATTTATTTATTTATTTACTTTAGAAGTAGATTTCTTTTTTGAAAAAAATCAGTGTAAGAAGGGAGATGAGTTTATTCATAAAACCACTATCTGTAAAAAACATAAAAAGACTTTTAAGTCAAAATTAAAAATTCGACAACAGATAATAAAAAAAATATGTTCAATATGCAAAAAAAAAAAAAAAAAATAATATGTAAAAATTGCAAATCAATATAAAAATAAAATATTGTTAATTACTTAATAATATGTATGTACTTTTTACCTAAGACAAAAGAACAATAAAAAAAATTAACTTTTTTTTTTTGGAAAAATGTTATAGCAATAATGAAATAAGGAATAATTATTATAGAAAAAATATCTATGTAAATGTACTCGTAAATTAATAGCTGCAGGATATTAAATACATTAGTTGAGCTATATAAAAACATATATAACTTTTTCAAAACCAGAAATAAATTTTTTTATTATATACACAAACACTTTTAATATATTTTTTAGTCAATATTCAAAGTAGATCAACTTTGTTAGTTTAGATACATTTAATTTTACATGAAGAATCTTATCAGTAAATAGAAGAGGTTATATATTCGATCTCGCTGTACGTTAAGTAACTTATCATTAGATTAAAGTTAGAAGACTTACAAACTGAAATAGTTATCTTTAATTTATTTATTTATGTTAGTATTTTCATTATCCGTACATTATGTTTAGAGTCGGGATTTATTTTAAAATATTCCATATTGAATTTGAACTAAATTTAAATATTATTTTTAAAGCATTGGATGTTTCAAATTTTAAAATAAATATTACATCAAACTTTATTAATTTTTAGATTAAAGTTTTCAGAATTTTATGTCACAAATTAATCATAATTTTGACACTGTTTCCAGTATTGCCAAGTACTTATCATCACTGATCTTAGGAAGTATTCGAATTTTTATTTAATTAGTTTATAGTCCGTATATAATTTCTTAGACTGGCACTTGCAGGCAACTCAAAACAGCGTTGTATTTTAATAATTTCAAATTTTTGTTGTTATTTCTTCATTACTGTCCGAACCCTTCCAAATAGTTTATTTTCGTCATTTGACGTTTTGCATTCGACAAAAAAATTAATGTTAATTTATACTTTTTAATTTTAAAATAAAACTAAATAATTTAATTTTTTGGTAATAATAATTTAATTTTGTATTAATAATATATTTTAAAATATACTATTTTTTTTATGTACCTGATTTAAAATTTTGTAATTTGTTCTTTGATTATAAATGTATTCATCTTATGAATTTGTAAAAAGTTTATAAATATAAATTACATTGTATTGCATTATAATATATTTTTTAATAATTTTATTTAAACATATTGTTTTAGTATATATCAATATTAACGTACTTAATTAATTTTGAAAAAGTGATCACACTTTCTATATAAATTAAAGAGGTCATATACTTATTGACCATTTTAATTTAATTTTTAAGTCGTTTAGTTTCCGATTTTTGTCATTCAATAGTAATTCTTTGGTAAGAATATATTTAAATGCCAGTTTATATATTTTTAATAGTATTTATTTTTTCTATATATTTAACTATAATTCTATTCATATTCCTTCTAACCAACATTATTTTAAACATTCTGCATATCTTTAACATTCTTAAAAGTTTTGATTCTAATCTTGTACTTTGAATAACTGAATATTAGGTACTAACTTCAAGCCATCACATTAAGTAAAATAATTTAAAATTATAATATTCACAAAGAATTATATTTAAAGCTTTATTTGTTACTAGAAGTGTGCAGTTTTCTCTTGGTTATTACCAACAACCAAATATGAGTGAAAAACTTCTACATATACCTACCATAGTCTACGCTATATGCTCTAATATCATTACTACATATAATATTAAATGACTCAGTTAATCTTTTTAGGAACTTAAAGTAGTTTTCTTTATCTTCTTCTGATATTACTTGTTTTTAAAAATTTTAAAATATATTTCCATAGATCTATGTAGAGTATAGACCACAAAATTCATAAAGTAATTTATGTTTAAAACAAAAATAATTCAAAATTATTTAATCCAACATCAAATCCTTCGTACTTTTTCCATTTTATTAATTATTTTTATTTTCTGCTTTATCTTACTAGAACAGATATTAACAGGATTCTAGGCTTTCGGCCGAGCGAAGTATTGCGACCATTATCTATCTTTTGTGCTAATTCATCTTAGAAGCTTCTATTAAGGTTACTTAAGATAGATCATTTGTTATTGAAGCATAATTCAAAGGCAATTGATATTTTGAATGCAAATAAAGTAAATTTAAATGAATTCAAATATTATTTTGTAAATAATTATTAATTTTTAAGCTTTATATCGATCCATACTGTTCAATATTTTATCCCATTTCTATATCACTTTCTTTGATTTTTAAAAATGCTCTTCATATTGCCTTTTAATATTTTTTAAGAACTGTATTCTTTACTATTGAATTTTCATACAAACTCATTTAAGTAAGAGTAATAATTCTTTTTCATTATTATCTTCTAAATTATTTATTATGTATGTTTTTAACTCTAAATTGTTTTCGTTTTTGTTTCCAATAACGTTTCCAACATTTTATTTTCTTTTATTTTAATTCTTATTATTTTTAAAGTTGCTTATCTAAAAGGATTTAATAACTTTTCCTTTTCATACATTAAATATTTTCTTTGTTATCCTTTTTTATTTTCTCTCATATCATATATTACATATTTTATTTCTCCCTTTATATTATGATTCCTTTTTATTTTTCTTTAATTAAATATTTAACATAATACATCTTTAATTCTTGTTTTGGATCTTACTTCCTATTTCATTTATATTCAAATAATTGTATGAATATAAGCTCACCTCACAAAATGCTGAATATAACCTTACTTTTTCAAAGAAATTAATAGCAAGATGTTATATATCTTTAGTTATTTTTACTATATAACCCTTTTTTGTGTCTTTTTACTCTTTTTAATGCAACTTTCATCATCTCTTTGTCATCTTCTGCAAAAACCTCAATCCAAAATTGTAGATTAGTTTTTATATGTTTAATTCTATATATATACTCCTTTGGTTTTTCTGTCTACACCAAAATAATCCTCATTTTTTCTTACGATATCTATTTTATTTAGTTTTTGTTAACTTTCATTATATTATCGATTCGGTGGCATATCAATTAGGAGAGTGTTCAATGTTTAGAAAGTAGCTCTTTATGATAAATAATCGAGATGAAATACAGCAATCTTTAAAAAACTAACAAATGAAGTTGAAGAATATAGATTAATGCAAGAGTTAAATCTATATATTTGATATAAAAAGAATTGAAGTCGACTTATACATCCAGAATAAATTTTCAAAGAAAGCTTGTTTCGATTGAAGGCAATAACACTATGGAAGACAAAAAGGAAGAATTCGTGTTTAAAACATTAAAGAAGATATCAATTTTTTATCTATTTCATTACTTTTTTTATAAAATTCATGAATTCTCAAACCTTCATCTGATTCCATGTAACCCTCAATTTCAGTTTTATCTACTTTTCTACTTCTCTACTTTTTATTTCGAAATCACTTTTAACGACTTTACTTTACTGCTTATTAGATATAATGCATTTCTTTTGTCAAGCAAATTCTCTTGATACCCAGGACTGTCCAATTTTCTAACCAACTTCTTATATCTTACTTGGAAAATATTTCCCTGCTTTTTCTGAATAACTTGATTTTAATATTCTTGCTTCTCCCAAAGTTAGCTAAATAAAATTATTTGAACTGTGAGGTCACCTTATAAATTATAAAGCAACTGCCGTTTTAATTGATAATCTTTCATTCTCTTTTAAAAAGTTTAATTAAGCACTTATTAAGTTCTTTTTGTATTTACTTAGTCATCCTGTGTATTATTATCTGTTGAATTTGTAAACACCCCCTTTGCATATCTCTAAATTTGGCTTTCTTATTTTATCTTTATGAGCTACCGCAACACCCCCTTAAACTGTGCCCTATCTACTCAGCAGAACCTCTGCATTCAAAGTGAGCTCTGTGTTTTTCATATTATTTTCATCAATGGAAGTCGTGTTATTGGAAGTAGCAGAACCGGTGGTAGTAGTTGTGGAAGCATCAGTAGTTGTACTACCAGTAAATCCTAAACCATTCAGTGAACGCGAAGGCGCAGGCGAGGTAGGCGCAGATAATAATGGTGGTGAAGTTATGAGCATACTATGAGTAGTAGGTGGTGGCGATTGTGCTTCCACTGTTGAAGGTGGGCTACGATTGAGATTACTATCCAAACTGCTGTGATGCTGTGATGAAGCAGGTGATAATGGTATTTCTTCGATTTTCTCTAAATCTTGTGCGATTGATGTTGAGTTTTGTTTATGTGTACGGGTTTGTGTATTCTTTGGACTTCGCGCAGTATCATGTAGTATTGGTATGTCTAACATACCTGATTTATTTGTTATAGAAATCATATGTGTTGCCTGCAATGAGTTTTGATGAGTTTGAGAATATTGTTCTGACTTTGTTTGGGTATCATCACGATCTAAGCTGAATTGACGTCGCAGTAAACGGCTCGAACCGGGCTTACTGTCAAATTTTGCAGTACTGCTATGTGTACTGGCACCACCTGAACTGCTACCACCCGCACTATAAAGATATTTTCCATCATAGAATTGTGTAAGATTACTTTCGCTGGGACTAAGACATTTGTAGTGATTATATGGTGAACTCAAATCCATCATTTCTTCAATTTTTTTGTAAAGTCGTGATGAAGAACCACCAGCAGAGGTAGGTAAACGATTAAAGCTATTTGGATTCAATAAACTATCAGGTGTTAGTTCAGATAATTTACGAGATTGTGGACTAGCACTTGGAGTTTTCATGGGAAATTCCGGACATAGCGTCATATTCGGACTTATTGTGTTAGTAGATGTGGAATCAAGAGAGTATGAATTTGGTAAATTCGATGAGCAGATGTCAACATTGGCTGGTGGAGTTATTTCCACTTTAACCTCCACAGATTCTCCAGCTAGTGATGATGACTGGCTAGAAGAAGGATTTGTACTGTTTCGTGATTTATTCGCTTGTGCTTTAAGTCTAATCGAATTGCGTATTAGTGATTCATCCAAACTGTTAAAAAATTTGTATAAATAAATAACAAAGCTAAAGTATTGGAAAACCAAAAAAAAAATGTAAAAGCTCGAAACCTACCCATGTGACTCGCTTTTGTTAGTACAGGCATAAAGTGTGTGCAATATGTTAAAATAGTTATTTGGAATAAATATTATAAAAATAAACTTACCCTATTGGAGGTGGTGCGGGTAACGGTTTATCGAAACCTTTCTTGCCTAGAAGCCAAAATGTGTTCATCATACCTTTGCCTTTAATTTCGATAAGTCCACGTTGTTCTATAACATAACCACCACGTGCCTCGAGACGATCACGCGTTTCCTGAGACATATGAATGCGCCAAGAGGAGCCTATGGGATGGAAAACAAATACACATAGAATGGAAGGTAATTATTGAAATATTTGTATTAAGGCTTTACCTGTAGACTCCATTCTTGATGCAGTATTAACAGTGTCTCCGAACAAGCAATACCTAGGCATTGTAAGACCTACAACGCCTGCACAGCAAGGGCCCGTATGTAGGCCGATGCGTAGTTGCAGTGGTACACCAGGTAAGTGTTTTACATTAAAGCGACCGCTTTGATGTAGTAAATCCAAAGCCATCGTTGCTATTTGCTCGGCGTGATCGGGTATTTTAACTGGTAAGCCACTTACAACCATATATGCATCCCCAATTGTTTCGACCTTTTGATTTTATATGAGATTAATTTAAATATAAATAGTTAAATAGATAAGAATATTTACCTTATAAACATTATAAGCATTGATTGTTGCATCGAATATCGTATAAAGATCATTTAATAAATCCACAACCTGTACGGGACTGCAGTGTGCGGCAATCGTTGTAAAACCAACGATATCACTGAAATAAATTGTTACATCAGAAAATTCTTCCGGATCCACAGCTAGTCCCATTTTCAGCTTTTCTGCTACGGAACTGAAATACAAAGAAAAAAAAAATATATATATATAAGATCTAATCATGTTACTTCATTTAACAATTTTAAATGGCAAAAAATTGACTATTTGAAGGATTAGTATGAAATAAATCTAAATCAGTGGCTTGACAAAGCCACTTTAGCAATTTTGATAATTCTTAAATTAATTAAATACAATTTTTTAATAAATATATATATATATACATATATAATAGATTACGCTAGGTTTTTATTACAAGCCGTAAATTACATTTCAGATTTCATTATTTTAGGCATGAAACGTAAGGATTAAATAGTACAGAGTCAAAAATAAGTCTTATATTGAAAATTAGTTATAAAGTACATATATTTCAATCAAGTCAAATTATGACTAAACTCTGTAGATATGAACTATGAGGACAATTTACGTTCAAATCTTCATAACATTTCTAATCGAAAACAAAAAATAGTTTTTCATGTCCGCTCACCTCGGTAACATTCTGTTCAACAGCTGTTCAGTCTTTTTCCTTTCGATATCCAATTGCTCTGTGCGCTCTCTTATCAGTTCTTCCAAATTGTTTGAATATTTCTCAAGCATTTGAAACATTGTATCAACAAAATTCACTTTTCGTCCATGATTTAACATTTTAAAGCGCTCATAAACTCTGCAGTGTCGTAAACAACGTCATTATTATGATTATCATTATTAACATTAAAATCAACGACATCATTAAGCATTTCAAAGGCATAAAATGAAAAATCAATAAAATTCAATTTAAAAAAACACCACTAAAAAATTTATTTTTACTCACGAATTAAAGTCCGGACGCATCTCTGGTTGTTCAGCCCAACATTGACGCATAATGTTAATAGCCTCTGGCGGTGCAGCGCCCTTTGAGACGGATGGTCGTATAAGCGGTGGCGGTTTTTTAATTTTTGTTATTATCTCTTCGGCGGATAATGATAGCATGCAATACGGTTCACCGCGTACAACAACCTCTTGCATAATGATGCCGAACGAGTAAACGTCACCCATTTGTGTGCCGGATACGCGGCTATGATGGTGATGATGTGATTTCATTTGGCGCAGCAATTCAGGCGCTGTCCATAACAGTTCCTTTGCTGTACGCGGTTGAGGTGTTAAGCCCTGAGCCTCATAAAAAGTCGACAATCCATAGTCGGTTATTTTAAGCACCCAACGTGCATCTACGACACAATTACGTGATGTGAGCGCACCATGCACACGCTGCGGTGAGGTGTGTAAATAACGCATACCGCGTACAAGGTCAGTCAGTAGACTCAAACGAAAAGACCAATCTAATTTAATTTCATCCATGATGAGCACATCTTGCAGTGAACCGCGCGAGCAGTAATCAAACACCATTGCCGTGCGACTGGGATCTGAAAGCCAACCTGTGCGCACAAGCGGAAAATAAATGAAAATAAATTAATATAAAAAATAAAATACAAATAAAAAATGTTTTCATATTATTCACCAATTAGAGGATTTATGTTTTCGTGTCGTAGTCCATGTGCCATTACAAGTAAGTCCATGGCTTTCGATTTTAGCTCTGTGGAGCCACTCAATGGTATTTCCTTTAATTGCACCAAATCACCATTATAACGTGCGCGCATATCCAACAATGCGGGATTATGTCTAGCTAAGCTTCCTGCACCTGTAGCACTCTTACCATTTACTGTAGCTGTAGCAGTGGTAGTTGTGCCTCCTGCGCCTGGTATTATTAAACCCAAATTTTTTAAAGAACCTATTGAACCTTTCAGTAAGTCTGGTTTATCAACTTCAGGCCCTCCAAATTCTTGTAGTTGTTGTAGCCAACAACAAAGCATAGCTTCAATACCTTCATCAACCTGTGGAAAAAAAATTTCAATTCAGTTGATACTGTGAAAAAAAAAATAATCGAAAAGTTTACCCTGCGTGAGTCCACAGGAAATACAAAGTCACTGGGCGATAGCACAATTTTATTAGGTCCCTTTGATAAACGTTTCCGTAGAAAATAATTTCTGAAATAATTAATGATATAAATAGTTTATCAGTTTTTTCCATTCAAATTTGGATAAAGCAATAGTTTGCCGTTTGTGATGTTAAAAGTTTCAAGCAATATAAAAAAGTATAATATAAATCTATTGAAATAATAATTGTAAGAATAAGTATTTTTTTAGGAATAATTTTCAAAATAATAGAGGAGGATGTACTTAATAATGTATGAGAAAAAAAATTAAGAAAATGATCAAATATTATACAGATTAAATACATTTTTCTAAGAAAAAATATCATCTTTTTGAAAACATTTACATTAAATAACTATAGTTTTCAAATTCATATAAAGGATTTACATATGGAACACAAAATTAAGGATTCCACCATTATTTAACCAGGAGACCCACTTTTCAGAATTTAAGTCATATTGAAAGAATACAATCTGCATTTGTAGCCTTATATAATCAATAAAAATGGAAAATAGTCTTATGTGAACTAAACTCATTATATGTATTTATGAACATAATCACAAACACTACACTAAAAATGAAAGTGACATGTCCGAAACACTAAAATAGTATACTACATATTTGCGACATGTAAAGTCTCATGTAAAGTATTTAATGTTCTCGTTGTGTTCTTTTTACGAAGGTAGTGAACTTTTTAATGATCATTTCTTGAAGGTAGAGAATATTAAGTGTATTTTTAGTGTCTGTCGAACAAAACGTTTTGAAAATGTTTATAATGTGCATTGTTGACAATTTAAATCGTGAACTAGTTTTTAGTTTATTCACACTTACGGCAATGCTGCTTCATTCACCATAAAACTTCAAAATTAAAAATGATATTGTATTGAGACGCATGCTAAGAGTTCCATGAAGTATTAGAAATGAAAACGTACACAAGGCTTTGAGTCGAGAGTTTGCAAAATTACATCAAGGACTGACACTAATTTAGAACGGCAATCTCTTAAAATACATGAAATGAAATATTTCATTGATAAAATATAGTAGGCTTTGAACAATATTAAAAGCACCGAAATAACTTATTGTCATAATACAATGAAGCTCTTATTAAGACAGTCACTATATGATCTTCAAAACAATAAAATATTGCATTGGGATGCATGCAAAGAGTTCTATGCAATATCAGATATAAAGATATACATAAGAGTTTGAGTCGAGAGTTGGCAGAGCGCTTTAAAATTGTTCGATTCTGTGGACGATTAAAATAATTTTGAACTACACTCTTTTAAAACAAAAGAAATATATATTCCATCAGAAAGATACGTTAGGTTTCAAACTATATTAAAATCAAACTATATTAAAATAATGGAGCTCTTTTTACAGTGAATCGCCCCAGTGCTCACAGACAGTACTGAGTAAATGTGTTATAGACGCTAACTCGCAAAGAAGAAGAAGAGACTCAAGGTTTGGAAGATATCATGCTTTAAAAATAGTTTTTGCAAAAATTTTCGAATGCTTATGTTGAAAACCTTAAACCTTGAAAATTTCTATTTAGTTAACCTTTTAATTTTTCGTAGAAATCTATCTTAACTAATAATTCTGTTTAAGATTATTCATCCTGTTATGCACCTTTTAAACCCTGTATTTTGCAAAATTGCAAATGAGTGTTCCAATTTCTTTCCTATACGATTTTCTTCGTTACTCGGAATTTTTGAAGTGAGTACCCTGTAAAATCTTAAGCCAAAAAAAGAGCTATTGCTATAAACAAATTGTCTTACATCTTATTCACAAATATGTAAACTTAAACCTAATTTGTGTCTTCGATTACTATGCCTAAAAAATTGAAGATAATACTAGATTTATTGAGCTTAAATAATATATTAATAATTTTATATTGAATAAATAGTTAATCAATATTCAGGATAACTTTTGAGCGCACAAAGAGTGTCAGAGTTAGTACAGGACAAGCCTTATACTGTTTCCATTGAAAAATTGATTTTTTTAATGGTTTCATGATACCGTAGTTTTTCTCATTATTATTTCATATATTTTTTGTTTTGTACTTCAATACATCTAAGTAAAGCCAACTAACAAGCAGATAAGGAAGCTTTTAAGGATAATGATGAGGATGAATTGAACAAGGAATTGTGTGAAATCATCTTTGTACAAAAAAGTAAATATTGGAATTGTTTATTTATTGGCGTAATTTATCAAACATGTTTAGTAAGTTTGAGTTAAGTTTAAGTCAGTGTAAAATTAGCAAAAGTTAGACGTCCATCTCAAGATAAAGAAGAAATCATTACATTTTTAAATTTTTTACTTAGAAGTTAAAGTTCCATTAATTGAATTTCTTATTAACGGCATTCAGAGTAGACAAACTACATAAACAGCATTAACAAATGCCAAAGTTTAAATTAATTTAATTTGTTAAGTATTTTCCGTGTTAGGATGAAGTTCCAATCATTCAGATAATGCGAGCCGAAATGTTTTTGTTTTAACTTTGGTACGAGGGAATCGTGCGTACGTGTGCGTCTGCAGTTGCGTTTCATCCTGTTTCCAGGCTTTTGTTTTCAGTACAAAAGCAAATTTAACGCTTAATTAATAAATAAACTGTAATTGACATGGCATAAATTATAGACTGAACCTGATACCTGTCCGGAAATGTTACGATGACTGGCACTTTTAAAGTGCACATAATGGATTCTAAATATTTTGAAATAAATTTTAAATAAAGCAACATTTTTAAAATTCTATAGTTTGAAATAAATTATTTTTAAATTTAACAGTTTTGACGTAGTAACAATTTAATATAAAATTAAACTATATATTCTCTATTATAATGTATACCTATGAAAGCTATTCGAAGTTCAATAATCTTGATATTAACATACCGATCATTAATATGGATAAATAATAATGCTAGCATTTATGCATTTAAAGTTCATAATAAATTATTTTTAGGAATTTTGAGGTTATAATAATTTAGTATAATATTAAACCCCGCCCTAACAATCCTCAAATTCACTTTTGGATTCTCAGGAAGATATGCTGATTTAAGGTCCGTCATAAACTAAAAGACAAATAAATGATATGATTTTTTAGCCTAGTTAAAGCCTAGTGTGGGGTAGAGATAAGCCTCCCAGCCATTATAGAGTAAAAGTGCGTAATAGCACTAATAGCACAAGAAGAAGAATCAAGAAGAAGAATTAAACCATATGTTCTTTATTGTATTAGTATAAAAGATACTCGAAGTTCCATAATCTTGATTATAATTTTGCGATAGTTAATATCATATATGCATAAATGACATACGCATATCATGTAAGCATAAAGCAACAATATTGTATATTTTTTTATTGTTTCTGAATATATATGAAATATCCCGACCAATATCAAAATATTATTGGATGATGACTGGATTCCATAGACGGTACATATATAATAAATAAATGCATATGATTTCAAAGGCAAATCACAAATAATTAATTTTTCAAATATTTAGTGTGTTAAGATATAAGTTGACTGTGCTCTTACAATGGTTTACAGAAACAAAAATCATCCATCAATACAATACACCGGCTCACACCGTTTAAAAAACCAAAACCGGAATCAATGAAGATAAAATCGTTAATAGCATAATAAATGACATTATCTTTATGGTATGTCAAAATTAATTTATTCTGCCTTTTACATCAGAAACCTATCCCAAAAGCCCACTTGAGCACAAATAATGGCCCATTGTAGTACTACAGAAATAGCTTTGATATGTACATAGACTATATGACCAATGCCGAAAAAGGGGCCCCCATGGTTTTTGATCTTTTCCTAGTTAAAGATGGGCACTGACATATGAAATAAAACATAGTTTTCTCCTCGTTCTAAGAGCCACAAACACGACAAAGGTTATTATAAGGAAGACCTAGTCTTATAGTATGCTTCCTTATTATGCTGTGGCCCGTCAGTACAGTTACTATAGTGCTAAGCAGGTACCGTCTTAGTTGAAGTAGCTGGCTGGTACACTTTTTGTACAAATTAGACCAAATCAACCTACAGATCTGACAAATGAGTTGAACCTTAACGCGCCTAGGTAGCTCATTAAGGAAAGCACGGCAGTTTTGAAGTATGATTGGTGTGGTTGAAGTGCCTACTAGTAATTTTATGGCACCATGGCTATACGAAAAGATTGAAATAGTTTTTCCGGGGATTTCATAGCCAAGAACACATTTTACACATGGATTGCCTTTACTCCTGCCTGAAGAACGCTGCGGTGATTTCGGAGTCGAAGCGAAATACAACTACCCATTCTTTCATAGAAAATGAGATAGCCAACTTCTTTGTCTATTTTGGAGCTGTCTCTGTAAACATCTACCATGTAAAGAGAAACTACCTTGAAAAGGGTTCAATCTTCCCTACTAGGTATTAGACATTTGAACCCCTGGTTAGAGTCTGGGTAGGAACACATGTAGTCAACTGAGACGGGTACTGGAAGATTCTAGTTCAGTATAATCGCGTGCCCTATATCAATTCTTGGCTAGTAGGAAAGAGCGTTTAGTCTCATTGTAACTATTTTAGATTACTGTTTTACAAGAATCTGAAATGGCAGCAGAGCAAAGAGGGCTTTGGTGTGGGTAGAGCGTAGAGCTCCAGTGATTTGTAAGGCAGCTATTTTTTTTGTTATGTCAATTAATTTTGTGTAGCTCGCATTTTCTGTTGTTTGCCACCAGAAGGCAGCCCCAAATACAAGGACTAGTAATGACTAATAATGACTGTGCAGAGTTAAAACATCTATAGTGATAAACAATTTTCGTTAATAGTTGTCGTAGGGGGATTTTTGCAATTCTTCTAGGATTGGACTGGGGACTGAGCAAAAAGTTATTTTTACAATAATTCATATTCTCATTTACATTCCGCGAACTAAGTAAACGTAGTATAAATAAAAATAGCTTTAAAGCTATTTTGAGAATTATCAAATATTCCTCATCAAGCGATCTTTGAAAATATTTATTTATTTTATAAGTTTGTATATAATTACTGGAATACGATATAAGTGCTTAGAATATAGAATCTAGAAACTGAAGCAAGACATCCAATTTTTTTACTAAACGAATCAAAGTTCTTTAATAATATTTCTGAATGCTTAGAAAATAATCATGCAAGCAATTTTCATTAGAAAATGATTACAAAATAATAATTAATATATTCAATTTAAACATTGAATTTAATTGTTGGTTTTTATTTTTGCAAATATGTACTCTACAAATAAAAGATTTAATTAATTGCTTCTATTAATAATAATGTATGAAATATTTCCTTTACAAGTATAACTCTTTTATACGCCTAAAAATACATAAATGAAATGTCGGTCATCTTAAACCAATTATTAAATGTAAAAGCGATATCTGAATTAAACATTCAACTCTTCTTTAATTTCCATTCTATTGATATAAGTTATTTCTCTTCAAATTGTATTTATTTTTAATTAGAGTAAATTTTAGAATCCTCATGGCAAATATTATGTAAAACAACTGGTAATGCTTGAATGCTTAGTGAATATGTCTAATTGCCTAAAAGTATACTTGAATATTCTGCAAGCAAATTATTTGCTTAAGTTACGCTTCTGCGGTTGCTCGGTAAAGATTGCACACAATCTTAATTAATAAACCCAGAAGCAGTCAAATCAATTTCGTCTGTACTTACTGTAACTGACTGAATATATTTATTATTTGCGTGGGTGTGTGACTTGATATCGATTAAAAATTTGAAGAGGTTCTTCCACATATATTCGAGACATGGCTGAAATTTAAATAGAGCTCCGAGTGCTGGAATATATTTGATTTGGCAGTGGCATAAATTAAGATTCATGTTATTTTTACCGAGATTATTAAATAGAACTTGAACAAATTGTGGGCGAGAACTTCAGGCACAAACCTATCAAGCTGAATCAATTAAACGGATTCATAAGGATACTGGCAACTAATGGCAAAAATTTTAATTACGCAAAATTCAAAGTTTTGTGGGGGTAAGGATTTAATTGCTTTAAACTTTATGGTACGCTTTGTGGCATTTCAACTTACCTCATTGCGATGCCGGCAGCTACGCTCGCTGCCACAATTATGAGCAGAATACCCACGCAAATGGCAACAACAGTCCAACAGATCGCACCGCACTGCCACAATTGTGCGGTGCTTAATTGTAGCCAGTCGTCGTAGCCGGGCAATATGGAGTGAGTGATGTAAGTGTTTAAGTTGATTTCATGCTGTTCCAATATAAGCAGAGGTCGCCACTTGATGGTGTCATTATGGTACTTGTTGCCATTGTTACCGTCCTTACCGTTCCTACCGTTGTTACTGTTGTTGGGTATGTTGTGCTGCCGCTTCGAGTTTTCCACATGACTATGCATTATAGCATCCAATATTTCAGTAACCGCATCAATTTCTACAATACCGCCATTATCATTTCCACCACGTACCACATCCAATACAATAAAATCATATTTTGGCAAATGCAAACTGACATTCGGTGGTGCAGAGCTGCTGGCGCGCTGACTTGTATTTGTGGCACGTAACACATTGGCAATTATAAAATCGTAAAAATTGAAAAAGTCTATAAAGTTGCGTAAAATTGCGATTTGTTGCTTCTGATGTTTGTCATACGCCTGAGTTGGTTTGTGCAAGTGACAAATATCCTCCAAAATGTTACGTAATTCGCTGGCAATTTCCTGTTCCGTTTCCGTTGTAGCGAAGCTATTTGCGCTAAGATTCTTGGTAAGCGCATATGCAGCACATTTTTGTGCAATGCTCTCGTAATTTTGACAAATATTTACAAAATTTGTTGGATGCATATTCGCAAGAGGACATTCATGTAACTGAGATAAACGTGCCATCGTCAATGTTGCACTATTAGAACCGTGGTGGGACTGTTGCAAAATCCTAGTCATTGAGCTATCCAAATGCATGGGCCAATTGGCATTTGTGTGGTATTCTTGATACGTTTCATTACTCTCACTACTTCCGTTGGCGGCGGAACTTAGCGCCTTCCAGAGTCGTAGCTGCCGGAAGTTCTGCACCATTTCAATGCCATTATCTTCAAATGCCACATTGAGGAAGTGACGATATTTATCGCTTAAAATTGTGAGCAGTAACAGATTTGACATCAGAGCTGAATTGGCTTTAATATGCGCCAAATTCTTATAGAAACGATTTTCGGCATTAAATGAAGTGGCAACGACATCGATGAGTAGCACCTTTGTATGCTGTAAAGACTCCAGTTTACTCAGTAGCTGCAAGGTGCTATCGTCATTCATGTCAGCCGTAATAATAATAGCTAAAATTGAATAGAAAAAGTTAAATAAAATACATAAAAAAGGTAGAAGAAAATTTATTAATAGAAGTAGGTAAATGAATATTAAATCGTACTTAATAGTAAGTAAAATATTGTAAAAATGAATTAGATATAAAAAAAAATTAAAATCAATTTAAGAAGATTGAATTTACATAAATATACACAGCGTTATTAAAATGAACAATATTATTTTATGTACGTAATAAATTCCAATACCTAAAAATATTTTATTAAAATCATAATTCGTCAATTACATAGATTCGTTATTGGAATATGATATAGATGTAATTGTTTAATTTTCATAAAATATTTGAAAATGTAACAAAAGCTTTGTTATTAAAATAAATATTATGTGTATGTGACAGTTATGCTAAAATCTGTGCTATTAATTTCATTTCTAACCAGCACATTATAGCTTTATTAGTAGGATATCTTTCAAGGATATACCAATGAAAGGATAACATTAATATAATAGGTTATTATCTATTTACGATTATTATTATTAGATGGTATTGGTATCTAAATACGTATCTGACAACACTATTCTGATTATGTGAAACGAACGCATGTTTGAAAGAAGACATTTCACGCTACATTATCTTTGTAAAAGCACATCGCTTATGTAAAAAGTTATATTGATTAAAAAATAAGTGAAATATCAGTGCCCCTTCATAAATGATAAATGAAGCCTTGATTAAATGCAAACAACGTTGTGCTTGGTGAGATTGGAAGGAAATTGTCTCGAATGAGTGACTCCAGGCTGGTACAAGGAGCATTTCGGTTGTTTATTGCTCATAACTCAAAAGAAGTAAATTCATGGAGCTTGATTGGGAATTTTTTATGTATCCACCGTATAGCCAGGACAGGACTTTGCACTGTCTGACTAATATTTGTTTCTTTACAAAACTCTATTTGTTTATGGTAAAAATTGCTCAAGTCATGAGCTACTGAAAATCATAAACCAGAGAAGTACTACGATTATGAATTATGAAGTCACCTGAAAAATGGGAAGAGGTCATAAATATTAATAGCCAATACATACTTGTTTAAAAACGATTATTATTAAGGAAATTTTTATTAAAAAATGTACCAAAAAACATGTGCGGTTTTTTATATCATTACCCTTTTACCCTTTTGTGGCTTTTAGATCGCTCAATACAGGATCTTATCTCCAAAGAGTATATCTTATAAAAAAATCTTGTAAGACTACTAAATAGGTAGATATGATATAATCTGAATTATTATGAAAAAAATTTAAAGTGATTTTATCAGAAATTTATATGCGTATATATATTATGTATTTTATGTGACTTATTTGATCAATAAGTATTATTAACAACTGCGTCTAATGTATATGACGAAAAAGTTTATACATCAAAGTTTATTCATCCATTCAAAAGCAGGAATACGTGGGAATATATGTACTAATAAGAAATTATGTTTTGTTATATTAAGTTATGTCAATTTAATCTTAATCAACTTGATTATGAACTAAAACATTTTTTAAGATCTCCGATCATGGAAAAAGTAGAAAAATTAAAGAATATTATATATTCTTTAATACTTTAATACTTTTATTAATACAAAAAAGGAAAATTTTTAAAAATTTAGATAAAATAAAACAAAATAAATGAAAAAAAGTAAAATATAATAAAATATCATCAGTTTAATAAGTTAAACACAGTCACTTTACAAATTTCAACCGAAATGTGTAATTTTCAGTCATTTACCATAATTTATTTACTAAAATAAAGTAAAATACCAAATGTAAAATAAAACAAAATAAAATTAAAAAATGTAAAAGCAAAACAAAATAAAATAAAACAAAAAAATCGAAAAAAAAAAATTAAATTAAAACAAGTAAAATAAAGCAAAACAATATATAAAAAAAAAAATTAACAAATTTAAACAAAATAAAATAAAATAAAACCGAAATTAAATTAAATTGAAATATAACAAAATACTTTATATTTTGTAAAAATTTGTAATTACAATAGCTTGCAGTGGTCCATGTTATATAGACATAGAGTCCCTGTTGGACTAGTACTAACAAAGTACAATCTCTTGGTAAAATTTGTCAACAGCGTGCAATTTCTGACTTTAGGTTGATACGAATTTTTAAACCATAAAATATAATAATGTTAATAAATAGCATAATAATATAATAATGCTAATATAAAACATGAAAATAATAAATAGTAAATATAAATAGAAAAAATAAAAAAGACTATGAAAAAATTTTAAAGAGTTAAAAATAATTCCACTGAAAATTATACAATTTTTATACAAAATTTATTTTAAATTGTTTTTACTTATGTTTTTGCTATTTTTCTTATTTCTGCTCACGCAAAAGGGTTTTTATTTTTTTTCATGGATTTTCAATTACGGTTTCTACTTTAGTTCAGAATTTGATATCCTTCCTACCTTTGCCGATTTTGTCATCTGCATGCAAGTCACGTACGTCTCCGCCAATTTGAATTTTGTGTGGTATGTGTAGGTTGGCAGCTATGGCCAAGGGTAAGCCCCAATTTTCATCTGTAAAAAATAAAAAAATTGATAAATAAAATGAAATAAAAATAAGTGTTCTTATAAGGAAATTTTGAGTGTTTTTAATAATTTTGTGTTTTCATTTTATCAATTTGTAATAAACATAAAGGAGTTTATATTCCTAAAATAATATAAAGTAGAAAATCATTTCCGTAGGATTAGTATCTTAATAATGATAGTAATATATTTATACTATTATTTTTCCATCAATCTATTTTTATTATTTTATCAAGATATTATGTTTAGCAATATTTTATTAAGAAGTTTCTGAAGTAAAAGAAAATTATAGCAGCCTTATTCATAAAAATTTCTTATAATGCTTTTTAAATGCATATTAGCTAAAATGTATTTTAACTTTATAATGGCACCCTATTCGTAAACGTTTTATAAACCTTTGAATCAAAGGCTTTGATAACTATAAAACACAAATGTTAATTCCATGTCTGTTAAAGACAAAACATTTTACAACACTGTGCTCTAGTACAAAAAATGATTCAGTATTGTAGCAAAAAAGTCAGAGGGCACATTTGGGGTGCTGAAGATATCGCTCCTCTTTTGTATATTGCCCCATTTGCGCGGATTAAAAACAATCTAACAGTTAAATGTATTGATATACTGTGAATAGCGACAACGTAATCACTTATTTAGAAATAAAGATTTATATATTTCTTATTTTACAGTATACCAATAATTATTCCATTTAAAAAATCCACACAATAATGTTGTTTTAAATTATATAAAAAAAAATTAAATTAATTTTTTTAATTATGCTTGTAGCATCCATATTTGATTATAATTAAGTCAACAAAAATTACTACACAACCAAAAATGCTCGAAATGCTGTTATAGAAGGTGTGAATTTTGACATTATAACATTATTTTAACTTTATAAAACTTTATGAATGGAGTTTTATAAAAACTATAAGTAAAAGAAGTTACATCTTATTTACATTATTAAACGATTTCAACTTGCAGTTAGTAATCAATGATCTTAATAAAGCATGTTGTGTACATACCACATGAGAATTATTATTTTAAATTTAATTATTAAATGAAAATTATTATATTTTAAATATTTATGTGACATGAGGATATTATAGCTTATTTGTAGAAGCTTTATATAAAGATTGCGCATTATAAATAAAAAAAGATTTTTTACTTGCATGAGAACTATCAATATCGATAACTATGGTTTGACAGCGGAGAATGTGAAACTGTTTTGACATTTCTGTTCATTAAGATTTGGCAAGTCATCATGAATCGTTTAACGCTAGAGCAACGCTTCCAAATTGTGAAAATTTACTTTTACAAAAATCAATCTGTTCGCAAAACCCATAGAGTATTTCAGCCATTTTACGGTGAACATAATTTCTAGTTAAAGGGCTACGTCAATAAATAAAATTGCCGTATATGGAGCGAAGATAATCCATAAGCCGTTAACGAATCATCATTACATCCATTAAAATTGACTGTTTGGTGCGGTTTACACGCTGGCGGCATTATCGGTCTTTATATCTTTCGAAATGAGGAAGGAGCTGCCGTTACGGTGAATGGAGAGCCCAATAGAGCCATTCTGAGTGAATTTTTGTTTCCAAAAACTAATCAGTTAAATATCGGTGACATTTAGTTTCAAAAAGACGTAAGACGTGCAACTTGCCATATAGCTTAACAATCGATTTATTGTGAAACCAATTTGGTAACAATTTCATTTCCAGAAGATGTCGTGTTAACTAACCGTCTCGTTCGTGCGATTTAACGTCTCTCAATTACATTTTATGGGGCTATATTAAGTTATTGGTTTATACTGACAAATTAGCAACTCTTGAAGCATTGGAAGCCAATGTTCCTACTGCCATTTACGGCATACGGCCATATTTATTGCAAAAAATAGTCTGATCTGAAAAATTGGATTGATCGAATGGACCATGTAACTTGAAGTCGCGGCGGACATATGACAGATTTCATATTCGAAAAATAAATGTCATAAAATTATCTATTACACTATGATAAAAAAAATTTCGTTCCAACAATATTTCTGTCTTGTGTTATTATTTTAAGTTCTTATGCAAATAAAAAAATACCCTTTATAGGAAGAACATATAGTTGATGAATACAAATATAAATGCGTACAAATGAATTCTTATACATTATAGTAACTTAATCGGAATACATCTATAGAAACTCATTTGGAAAGATGATTTTTGTGTTTACTAGTCTGACTGTGGAATTTAAAAGCATGATTTAAAAACATGATTAGTGGAATAATCGTATAACGATCTTTTAACTGTGTTATTTTACACTGTTAAAATGTTACTAGGTTACCAAGCTCGTTACTGAAGATCGTGTATATCTCTATTGCTTTGCAAATAACTTTAATGAAGCTTAAAAATACCAGAAGCATGAAAAATTTGATTGACTATTAGATTTTATATAGAGTATAATATTTTTTAGCCAGATATTATTTAAGATATTATTTCAATGGCATTACTTAAATTAAACATTTCATAACTGAAAGATACTGAATATCTCTTACATATGTTAAACAATAAGAGAAATATATTGAGTACAAAAGTATTTAATTATATTAATAAAGATTTATTTAAATTGTGTATTTTAACAGTATACTAAAGTTTACTTATATATAAAGTCTCATATTCAGTTTGCATAACTAAATATAAGAATATATTTACATAATATTTTCAATACATTTGTTTTTTGTATTTTTTATTTAGTTTTACATACAAAAGCGAAGCATTTTTGTAAAATATTACTTTGTAACCAATGAACTTTACGTATCCTTTGAATGTCTGTTGCGACATTGATAAGAAAATTCATTTCACTTTGCAAATACAACTGTAAAGACTTATTTACAAGTATCTACAGCCTTTCATTTAGTATATATGTACAGTAAAAATAAATGTATATGTACACAACCTCGCTATAATACTGACTTTTAAAAACTATTCGAGTTTCATCAAGCAAAAAATATAAGTTCAAGCGTATCTATTATACAGCGGATAAAATAAGTGAATATTTTCATTAAAAAGCATAAAATACCAGTTGGAAAATTTAAGCTTACACATTCACTAATAGAGAAAGGATAGAAAGTGATTTTACTTTCTTAGAAAACCTTACAAAAAGACTTTGAGAACTTAATAAGTTTAACCAAGTATGTAGGTACATAGACATTCTAGAGATCTATTATACTTTATACACACATATTATTTCTATACTGATACTTTGGGAGTAAGAAAGAAAAAAAAGAATATTAAAAAAAGTTTAACATTCTGTTATAACATCTATTTAAGGCCATCTATGACAAGATAACTAAAGTAGAATTGCATAAAATAATGAAAGAGTTTTGCATTCCTCATAATTCACCTGAAAATGTAAGCCGACAATGACTAAATATTGATGGATTTCTTTTAAATCAATCAATTTTTTTAATAAACTTCGGCAAACGGATGTTCAGGTTAACGTGCCGATGCAGTCCTTTAATTATCTTCAATCAATTGCAGCATAATTGTACATGGATCAAGAAATACACATGTGGCTGCGTAAGTCCAACAAAGTGCACTAAAGTCGGTTGGTGTTGCATATGTGTAGAATATTTTCTATATCATGCGATCCATAGTTGTGTAAGGCAATAGTTCTACCAATATATATATTATTTTACCAATATATATATGAGGAACGATTTCAAAGACACTAAAAATACAAACTGTATCTCTACCTTGAATCAGGCATAATTACAAAAGTTAAGTTCAGTAAATTTCGTTGAGTGGGTTGTGTAGGGCGCATAAGTAAAAAGAAGCCTGATCAGAATGCTCGGAGCCAAGTATAACTAAATTGGGTACATCCGCACGTAATCCGGATGTTGATAGTAGAGAGACTGGGTGAGGACCGACTAATACGGGACACCAGGTGTACCACTAAAAATGATGATAATTATTTGTACATTAGCTTATATCTTTACTCAAGACCACTTTTAAATTATTTATTTTTGAGTGTCAAACTATTTTTGAATTTACTGAATTCCGATTATAATTTCAAAAATGTGGAAAAATCAATAGTATTAGTTTATTATAATTGTTAATGTTCTTTTCATCTTTAACATTTTTTGGCAATAAGTTATAATTTCATCCATTCCATATGAATATAGAAAAAATTATTTTCGTCTCAATTGAATATATTATCTTAAAAAAACTGATATGTGAGGTTTATCTCTGTAAGTACATAAAGTGGATTTTTTTTTGTTTTAAATAGATTTAGAACTTTGTTTCGTGTTTTTCATTACAGTAATTTTTCTCTTCCATTTTCTTCCTGGGGGAATGCGGAATATTTTTACACTTTCATATGTGCTCTGGCAAAGTTTATTACAATTTATTTTAATGAATTTGATTCTTGATTTTCACTTCCGATTTAAGTAATTGAATTTATGAACACTTTTTTAACAAAAAGTTATTTAGAAAGTGCATATCTTGTTACAGATACGAGTACTTTCACTTCAGTACAAATGCAAAGTAAAATACTAAATGAAGAGCAAAAGCTTAAAAACTTAATTTCCTAACTTTATTAATATTGAAAGTCTCTACCTGTCTCTACCTTACAAAATTAAGGTAGATGACTTTAAATGACTTTTATTAAATTACTTTAATAATATTCAAAGTCTCCACCTGACTCTACCTTACAAAATTTTAGCTAAAAACTGAGATTATTAAAATTAAAATTATTAGTTTTATGATACATACATGAAGTTATTTATATTTTTGTGTAATATTAACGTTTATTATAAGTGTTATATATTATATATACCATATATAACTTAGTGATTGTTGATGTAAAGTATTTATAAATCAAGTCATAGTTCATTATTTTGTTATTTACTATCGATTCATAAGCTAAAATAAGCATTTAGATTAATTTATTGCAAGAATGGGTTGGTGCAGCAGAGAGTTTATATCCTGGTTGGTGTAATTTTCTATAAT